AACTAATGCCAAGGAGTTTCTCGTCGAAGTTTTGAGAAGCGTTTTGCGAAAATCGATAAGGTTGAAAGAAGCACACTTCTGCAAAGCTTGATTTCAATGAAGTATAAAGGCAAAGAGAACATAAGGGAATACATCATGGAAATGTCTCACATTGCTTCAAAACTTAAAGGACTAAAGCTTGAGCTGTCTGATGACTTGCTCGTACATTTGGTATTAATCTCGCTTCTTCCACAGTTCAGTCAATTTAAGGTCAGTTATAATTGCGAGAAGGAGAAATGGTCTCTAAATGAGCTCATTTCATATTGTATGCAAGAGGAAGAAAGGTTGAAGCAAGAAAGAACTGAAAGTGCTCACTTGGTAAGTACTTCTAAGGAAAAGGGCAAGAAAAAGAAGAAGGAATACGAAACTGCTCCTAAGGGTCCAACAAAAAAGAAATAGAAGGAAGACAAAGGGATTGTTTCTTTTGGAATAAGACTAGACCTGTGAAGAAGGACTGTACCAAATATCACGCATGGCGTGCAAAGAAAAGTACAATTCTTACTTTGGTTTGTTCTGAGGATAATTTAGCTTCAATACCTAGAAGCACTTGGTGGATATATTCTGGTGCTACTACTCACATAAGTGTTTCTATGCAGGGCTATCTGAGCTACCAAAAGTCAAATGATGGTGAAAAATACATCTATGTGAGTGATGGTAAATCGGTGGAAGTTGATGCAATAAGCACTTTTAGGTTATTATTAGGAACTGGTTATTATTTGAATCTGAAAGACACTTTTGTTGTACCATCTTTTAGATGAAATTTAATTTTTGTTTCTTCACTGGACAAATCTGGATGTTGTTGTTCATTTGGAAACAATCAGTTTAGTCTTTCATTAAATTCCAATGTTATTGCTACTGGTTCATTAACTGCATATGATAACTTATATTTGCTTGATATTATTGTATCATATAATGAAACATTGCATATGGAATCATGTGATACTAAAGGCAAATTAAATAATTAGAATTCAGCAAAATTATGGCACAAGCGCTAGGTCACATCTCAAAAACTAGAGTTGAACGACTTGTGTCAGATGGTATTTTGAATTCCCTTGACTTCACAGACTTTGATGTATGTGTTGACTGTATAAAGAGAAAACAGATCAAAACAAGGAGATTGGGTGCTAACAGAACTTCAGATGTCTTAGAATCGATATACACAGATATTTGTGGGCCATTCCCTGTGGCTTGTTGGAATGGACAATTACTTACGTTATGGGTATCTATATCTTATCCATGAAAAATCTGAGTCATTGGGCGTGTTCAAAACTTTTAAAGCTGAGGCTGAGAATCAACTCAACAAAAGGATAAAGGGCGTTAGGTCTGACCTCAGTGGTAAGTATTACGACATATATGATGATTCAGGTGAACAATGTCAATGACCATTTGCTAAATACCCAAAGGAATGTGGAATCGTCCCACAGTATACCATGCCAAGATCGCCTAGCATGAATGGTGTAGCTGAAAGACGAAATAATACTCTTAAAGACATGGCAAGGAGTATGATTTGTTATTCCACCTTACAAAACTCACTCTAGGGAGAGGCATTGAAGACCGCAGCTTATATTCTAAATAGAGTATCAATTAAGGCTGCTGTTAAAACACCTTATGAGTTTTGAACAGGCAGAAAGTCTAGTCTAGTCTAAAGAATTTTTAGATTTGGGAATGTCCAGCTAAGGCTAGGCCTTATAGACCACATGAAAAGAAATCGGACTCCAAAACAGTGAGCAGCTATTTTATTGGTTATTCCGAGCGATCTAGGGGCTCTAAATTTTATGATCCCACACTCAAGTCAATTTTTGAAATGGGAACCACAACATTTTTTGATGATGTTGAGTTTTGGGGGAGAAATAAGGTTAGAAACATTGTCTTTGAGAAAAACGTTGAGGAAGGATCGGTTTCAATTCCTACTATTGCTTTGACAATGTACATGTTCTTATACCTATCGTTGATCAAAAAGTATATCTAGAACCCCAAAAAGACAATGTTGAAGAATCTCCCATCCAAAATGAGGTAATTGTCCAGAAGTACAAATTCAACAAACTCAAGAACCAATACCATTAAGAAGATCCATAAGAGAAAGGAAAAGTGCTATTCTGGATGATTTTATAGTATCTCTCCAAGAACACGAGGAAAATAATGGAATAGTGGAAAATGATCCAATCAATTTTCATTATGCCATTAAATCTCAAAAATGGATTGATGCCATGAATGAAAAGTACAAGCCTATGCAAGACAATAAAGGTTTGAGATCTTGTCCCGTTACCCGAAGATGTGAAGCCCATTGGTTGCAAATGAAAATTTAAAACCAAAAGGGATTCAAATAGTAATGTGGAAAGATAGAAGGCTCATCTTGTGGTTAAATGCTTTACCCAAAAGGAAGGCATCGACTTCAAAAAGACCTTCTATCTAGTTTTAATGAAAGACTCTTTCAGGGCAATTATGACACTTGTTGCGTATTTCGACCTTTCTCAAATGGATGTTAAGACGACGTTTCTCAATGACGACATTGATGAGACAATCTATATGATGCAACAAGAAAACTTTGAGTCCGGAGACTCGAAGAATATGGTTTGCAAATTAAAAAAATCTATTTATGGGGCTTAAGCAAGCTTCCCGTCAATGGTACTACAAATTTCATCAAGTAATTATCTCATTTGGTTTTGAGATGAATGTCGTTGATGATCGTGTGTGTCACAAGTTCAGTGGGAGTAAGCATATTTTCTTGGTTCTGTATGTTGATGACATACTGCTTGCCACTAATGATATAGGCATGTTGCACGTAATCAAGAGATTTTTATTAAGAAATTCTGAGATGAAAGATTTTGGTGATGCCTCTTTTGTATTAGGGATTCAGATACATCGGGATCACTCTTGACGTATTCTTGGATTGTCAAAAAAGAGCTATATCAATAAAATACTTAAAAGGTTTACCATGCAAGACTGTAAACCAAGTGACACCCTTGTCACTAAGGGAAACAAATTTAGTCTCAAATAGTGCCCTCAAAATGACTTTGAAGCTAAGGAAATGAAGAAGATTTCTTATGCATCGGCTATTGGGAGTCTAATGTATGCTCACGTTTGTACACGTTCAGATATAACATTCATTGTTGGAATGCTAGATAGATATTTAAGCAATCTTAGGATGGATCATTGGAAGGTAACCAAAAGGGTTATGAGCTATTTAAAGAGAACAAAGGATTACATGCTCACATATAGCAGATCAGATCAGTTAGAGATCATAGGGTACTCCGATTCTGATTTTACTAGATGCCAAGACAGTAGGAGATCCCCATCAGGCTATACTTATCTGCTAGCCGGGGGAGCTATTTCCTGAAAGAGTGCTAAGTAGACACTCATGACTTCTTCTACCATGACAGCAAAGTTTGTAGCATGTTATGAGGTATCTAACCATGGAATATGATTGCAAAATTTTGTCACTAGGTTGCGCATTTTGAATGGAATGAAAAGACCGCTAAAGTTATATCGTGACAATAACTCAGCAGTTCTGTATTCCAATAACAACAAGAGCTCATCTAAGTCAAAACAAATTGACATCAAGTTCCTGGTTGTGAATGAAAGAGTACAGAGTGCACAAATTTTCATAGAGCGCATTGGGACAAACTCCATAATTGCGGAACCACTTACTAAGGGACTGTCATCCAAGGTCTTTCATTAGCACACTACTCGTATGAGTGTTGTATTTTTTGAGGATATCATGTTTTAGTGGGAATTTGTATTCTTGTTGCTTTATATTTATTTTTTTGGACACATTTGTGTATTTAGATATTTTTCTGTATAGAAATAAAGTATTCAGTTCATTCCACTCTGTCATTCTGTTCAGTATTGATCTCACTTAAGTAATAAGGTTGGATCAATTTGAAATGGACATGTTCGGATCACATAACATAAAATTTCCATGCTATGCTCCCATGATTGATCTATGACATTTGGTTGTATGGGTGCACAAGACCATTGGTGAATTTAGTCACGCTAAATGTGAAGAAAATTGTTTTGATCCTACATTAATGTAAATAATGGACAGATATTTGGAAATACCCTTAAAAACGATAGCACCATCTTGAACTCATAAGTCTGTGCACATTTGTAATATTACATATATGGCCCAATGGGAGATTGTTGGAAAAATTCCATCGTATGAGACTATATATGTGTATATATTGAAATGTGTGGTGCTAATTTTAAGGATTAGTCCGTAAAGTGATCCATTATATTTACTTTTGGACTAATGAATATTAAATGTTATGGGAATAAAGTGTAGAGACCAGAAATGTTGCTTTGAATTGACGAGGGGCCAATTTGAAATAATGCAAAATTAATAACTGACAATTACAATTATTTAATATAGGGTCATGGTCCCAATTGTACTCGAGTTTCACAGTTCTCTGCATCCTCATCAACAGAGAAGAAAACTCAAGAAGATCACGTAATAATTGGAAGATCAAAACCCAATCAAAGCACTAAAATCCATGTATCAAAGTACGCTTCCGCTTTAGTCTTCTCATCAATTTCAACATGGAGCATTTATAAAAATATGTGAAAGGATTTGGTGAATTTTTGGTTTCTTTCAAATTCCTACAGCTCGAGCAAGCTAACTTGTGTGAGCCGGCAAGCAGCATACACAAGTATTTTGCTGTTCAGCTTGATAGCTCGTCTCGATGCGAGCCAAACCGATTGTATCAAAGTACGCTTCCGCTTTAGTCTTCTCATCAATTTCAACATGGAGCATTTATAAAAATATGTGAAAGGATTTGGTGAATTTTTGGTTTCTTTCAAATTCCTACAGCTCGAGCAAGCTAACTTGTGTGAGCCGGCAAGCAGCATACACAAGTATTTTGCTGTTCAGCTTGATAGCTCGTCTCGATGCGAGCCAAACCGATGAACAGGTTGCCTCGCTTCAAACCACTAATTATAAAACACGCACAATGCATGAAACAATATAAACAAAAGACCGCACGTAAACGATTTTAATCACTGAAACAAGTGTACACCTATAATCCAACTAAAAAATCATGTCAAACTATTACATTCACATGAAGACCGCATCTAAAAATTTACTAACACATGCAGTCCTTATTTGTCGCCACACAAAGCAAAAAGAAGATATAGTTGGGCGGAAAACACAAACAGAACTACCAGAATCTCATGTAAATCTCCTGTGCTCAGCTGTAAGATCCCATCCTTATACCAGTGTCCCTACTTTGAGGCAGTGATCCACCATCAGCCTTCGAGTAGCTCACATAGAAAAACTCAGAGACTATGCCAGTAAAAACGATGAATGCCGCCCCTGCCCCGAAGACTCCCTTCCTCAAGGTTTCACAAGAAGGAGGATTTGCCGACAAAATGGTTCTGTACTTCGTATGGTAGGCATTTCTAACAGAACCCGCCAACAGGCATACCTCAGCAACAAAAAATGCAACCCTGTATTGCCGAAGAATTAGTTTTAGTTCAAGACTGTTAAAACTGGAAAGTAATATTTATACTCAAATGTTGAAAATTAACATCAATCATTTCCCCCTAAACATCATACAACCGTTCTCATCACGTCGGACTCATTGCTACACTAATGCATTAGAATCAATTTTAATATATCCCGTGACACTCGACTATACTAATAATACCATCCTCTCGTTTTGATCAAGTGCTACCTGGGATTAATGGTACCATCCCTCTTGCAATATTCATACAAGAAATAAGAGTATTTCTTAATATTTTTGTCGTATTGGAAGATCCAAAGTAGCTAGATTCTTAACAATACATTCCACCACGCTCATCTATCGAATGTCTTGTCCTTTACCTGTCCAGCACTCGGAACCATAAAGCTTCCCCATCAAAATTATATAAAAATAAATAATGACAAAAATGGAACAAATTCAATTATGAAAGTTATAATCCTGTTGCAATTAAAAACAGGTCTATGGAAATGAAAATATACCAGCATGTGATGAATAGGACAATTGCCCATGTCCTTGAACTACCAGGTAGCAGAGCTTTCCCGCAGCATAAGCATCGACTAGCTATCATTATCAGGGCTTGACTAGCCATAAGAAATAAAAATGACCCCACGCCAAGGCCAGTTGCTATGTCCGAATCATAAACACAATAGTTAGAGTTCGCATCTGTGGCAATATTAGCCTGCCAGAAACATCAAAATGGAAGAGTCAGAACCCAGTCCCAGAAAATAGAAGAGATGAACTTCTAGGCCTTGTGCTTTTTCTTAGACCAAAGTATTTCGTCAGCTTCAGGAATAACAGATGGTTGTGTCGCCAGTTGTTCTAACTAGTAAGTCATGAGAACTAATAAACCTTGTGTTTAAAAGTAGTACAAATTTTTATTATTAGATTTTCAGTTTATTTCCATTAAGTTGATACTACTTATTCCACGAATTGACTCCCCCCACATTTCAGGAAAAGCAACTGCATCGTGGAACTAATTATTGATTAATATTGAACATCACGCATAGAGAGACCAATAAAAGCCAGAAATAATACTTAGAATTTAATTGATAACATTCGAGATGTAACTAAAAGACCCCATCCAGAACCAGCTGAGGTCCCATTTTGACATTGAAGAGTTAAAAAGTACACATCAAAATGATAAACCCTTAAATCTTTTTTCGTTATCACGAAAATGTGTATCACCAGATTATATTAAGGGATAATATTTTTGACGCGTCCACCTTATTTGTAAAGGAACAATAAGGAATTTCTTCTAACACTAATTTTTGTCCAAGATTTCATTTGGAAAATTCTACGAAAACACTCGATATTCTAGTTTATCCTATTAAGACTTGGATTCCATCTTAAAAGGTCAACCTTATTAATAAAAGTAGTCCAATTCTTTATAAATTGGTTTATGTTTTCATCTTTATTCAATGTGGAATTTCATCCCTTAACATGCCCCAAATCCGTATGCTCATTTATTGAGTTTTAATCGAATCGAATTGTTTGTTGAAGTTTAATGGGCTCTGATACTATGTTAAGACTTGTGATTTCATCTTAAGAAAGAGAAGTAGCGCAATCTTTATAAATTGGTTTATGTTTTGATCTTTATTTGATATGGGATTTCATCCCTTAACATATCCACCCCAAGCCACAAATCCAGGTCACCAAAAAGGAGTAGAAAAAATTGCACACAACCCTTTTCACCCCAATTGCATAGGACAATTAATCCTCTGCTTTTATCAAGCTATTCTCAAAGTAATAATAAGGAGAAACCCAAGCAAAATATCATAAAGGCTTGTTTGGGAGGAATTTTGAGAGCTGAGTTTTCGACGGTTAGAAGAAAAGTGGGTTCACCTGTGAGTGAGAAGAAGTAAAAAATTATGGCGGTAACAGTGAAATAACGGTTATATTTTGGGGGTAAAAAATCCCTCCAAACAGACTGAAAACTTAGAAACAAGCATATTCAACAAATATGTTTTCACAAACTGCATAACACAGACTAAGGAGACGAGCACTGATAAAATCAGACAATTTTTTGTATAAGAAAATTAACAAAAAAAAAAAATTCATATCAGAGAAACTCACAGAAGATCTCCTCTGCTCAGCTGCAACAGCAAGTCCAAAAGCAATCAAATCGAAGATAAAAACCACAGCCAATACCAAAGTTGATGCCATTCCAATTTTTTACTTCACTTTTCCCCTATTCCAAACCTCTAAAAAACGAAAGAATACGTTTGAAAACAACGAAAGAAGAAAAAGAAAAGTGAAAATTCACAGTAATACTCGTTCTACAAATTTCAAGAAATTGAAGATAGCAAAATATATCACTCACCAAA